ATAGCAAAGAACAGAATCTCCAAAGAGATCAGTTTACTGCACGACAAAAACTTTGTCAAACCTATATATAGGAAAATCTATAAATACCTAGCTTAGCAATTCCATTAATGTGTAAATAATAATTTAGCAGTTATAATAAAAAGAGTGCCATATGCACCCCATGATGATATCATCTGAGATAGTTAAAAAAAATATATATATATATACTATATATAGTAAAAATTTGAGCCAATTTGGATTAGTAGTTATCAAGAAATATATGTCAAAGTTTAAGAAAATTTAACAAATTTTATAAAAATCGTTATTAATTGATAATGATTATAATCGTTTAAAATCATTATATATCAATAATTGTTATATATTGATAGTAATATATATTGATATATAGCAACTAATTGATATATATCGATTATTTTTAATCAATATATATCGATTAAATGTTATATATCGATACAAATCTGCTTAAAAATTTTTCTGATAATTGTTATTTGACAAAGAGAAAAAACAATTTTTGGTAAATATATTTGGTTTGAATTTAACCTTTTCTTTTGGATTTAATGATTATTTTTTTTACTAGGTGGTGATTTGTTATTAGTAGCATATTTTTTAGTTCTGTGAGTTTTATTTATTTTTTTCAGAACATGTATAGATAATACAGAAATATGATATGAAGCATTTTTTTTTTGGTTTGTTCCAATAAGTGACTAATAAGTGAAATGTTTACACAATTCTATGAATTAGCCAGGGTAATCTCAGAGTTCTGATTATTCAACCATTTAGACAGTTTAATTTAATACATATATTGATAGTACATACAGTCAGATAACTAGCACTTTAAAGTAGGAGTAAGGGTTCTGTTCATTTCATCGACAATTAGTTTACTGACAGTACGATTCACCAACAGTCAATTCACTGACAAGTTTATTCCACCGATAATACAATTCACTAACAGTAATTTGATCGACAAAGTAATTCTGAATATTGCCATTAGAGTCAAGTTAAGTTTAGTGTAATTTATAAAAAAAACTTGTTAGTGAAATGAACTTGTTGGTAATTGATTGTCAGTGAATTGTAATGTCAGTAAACTGATTTTCGGTGAAATGAACCAGAACCTTAGAGTAGTCACTTTGGCTAATTCAGTTTAGGTTTATATATAAGATTGTTACTTAGATTAATATTATATACAGATTATTTAATTTGCTTCAGACTTTTATCAGATTCTAATTTACTAGTTTTAAAACAGTTTATATTCAAGCCAGAAGGTTAAAACTCAAAAACTAAGGAAATTCTATATTAGACATTTCTATATCAGACATACAGGTTTGTATATCACATTTTTCAATATTGATTGTTTTTGGTTTCTGTTCAGAGATATTTAGCTTACCACTTTTTTTTTTATTTATTAAAACTTTATTATCTATAAATTTATTATTAACTGATTTAGGTGTGTAATTGTACACTTTTTTCTTTATGTTCTGTTGGTATTTAGTGATAGGTTGTTCGATATTCTGTTTATATTGATTGATGAGTTGTTCGATATTTTTGTTGTATTTAATGATAGGTTGTTCGATGTTTTGTTTGTATTTAATGATGGGTTGTTTGATATTCTGGTTATGTTTAATGATGGGTTGTTCGACATTCTGTTTGTATTTAATAATGGGTTGTTTGATGTTCAGTTTGTATTTAGTGCTGGATTTTTCGGTGGATTGTTCAATAGATTGTGTGATCAATTCTAATATTGAAAAATACACCACCTTTTTTACATCCTGGTAAGGTCTGTTGAAGGCTAGTTCAAGGAATCATTTATTTTTCTTGAGTAGAAGTCTATACCTTGGTGGCATTTATTAAATCAAGAAATAATTAAAAAATATACTTTGAGCAGATTTTAAAGATGTGATCAATTTTATAATAAAGAATCTGGATATTCATATTGCTTATATAGGAATACTGGAATTACATATTATATATAATTAATTTATGATAAATGTGTAATTGTCAAGATAAAATTAATATATTTTAATCAAAATAAATATAGAAGTAATTGTCTTTTTTTTTATAATTATTCACCAATTTCTTTGATCTATGTTGATGATTTGATTTTTTTTGTTATAATTTTGTTTTTTAAGTATTATTTATAGTCATCGCAGAATCACTAATTTAACGATAATTGTACTAAAATTTTTTAGTTAGAGTAGCAGTACTCTGAACCAGAGCTTAAAGTTCTATAGTAATTTGCTAACCTGCAGTCTATTGTTTAATGTGTTTTTCTTAATTTATTATATTACTATAGATCAAAAATAATATTTTTGAATGGCCAGCATTTTGATATAGTTTTTTAAGTCCTGTTCTAAACACTCTAACTCTAATCTATGATATGGCTAAAATGACATATATTCATTGTTTAAAGTGTCTTATTTGAAGTTTCAAGATTAGTATTTAAATTATTAGAACAATTACTATAGACAATGAATAAAGATATCATTTACTACTAATATAAATCAACTATTTACTATAAGGTTGTTATCTATAGTGAAATGTTTTTTGGTTTAGTTTTTTTTTTTGTTATAAAAATAATTGATATGAACTATAAACCATAGTGATCGTAATTTAAAGAACATGTATACAATTATATACTCAAACCTTTTTCTTGGTAGAATTATTGAAAGTATAGCAAATTCAATTAATTAGGTATCAAAATTGGTTATGTAGCAACTTTATTCAAGAAATAATGGTAACTATATATATAGTAATTCATGTATGTGTCAATATATAAGTGCATAAAAATAAAAACCTGTAACTATTTATAGTTAATCATTAAATGTATTTCCAGATTTTCATTCTTACATGCTCATGTATAATTATTGAAATTTAATATTAATATGCATGATCATAATTATGAACAAAAAAACAGTATAGATAACTCAAAACAGAGATAAATCGAGGTATTTTAAATGCTGACTACCTGATAATTGATTTATATTATTAAAATTTAATATCAATATGTGTAATCATAATTATGAACAAAAAAACAGTGTAGATAACTCAAAACAGAGATAAATTGAGGTATTTTAAATGCTAACCACCTGATAATTGATTTATATTATTAAAACTTCATATAAACCAAATCACCGTTTACTATATATTACTTTAGTCTTGACCCAAAACTGTAAGATTTCTAAGGTAATTTGCAATTGTCTGAGTTGATATTAATATTGTGATTGATTGTTCTAATTAAAGTTTATAGATAATAGTGCATTTGATGCTATATATGTATAGTATATATTATAATTGTTATTTTAAATATAATAATTCGTTTGTTTTTTAACCTATCGTATCAGTATAATTTTATTATTGCTTAGAGATTTATTATGCTGAAATAATCATGTTTATATGTTTATTATGTTGGAATAATTGTGCTTATAATTAAATTATATAGTGCAAAATTTAATATAAATATATATTATTATTGCTTAAAAGTTAAATTTATTAATTAAATTTTTATAGCTTGATTAATTAAATCCAGTTTTTTTTAAATAAAATCTTTCATGTAAACCAATTTTTTAAAATTTTATCATTCAATCAACATAGCAATGCCAACCACTTAGATCATTCAAATAAAACTGAATTAGAAGTTGAAACTTCTGAACTAGGAAATTATCCTGAAAGTCTCATAATTGCTTATAAAGAAACAAAAAATAATATTACACAATGGTCATTTAATTATTTTATTAAAGTAGAAGGTTTTTATCCAAATGTTTCTAAACTTTGTTATATATTAGCTCCTAAAAAGTATCTAATACCTAATAACTATTTCATGAAAACAAGTTGGAAACATGGTGAAAGTCAGCAAACAGTTCAGTATAAAATAAGATATAAAAATAGAAAACCAGAATTTTAAATTCGATTTGGTACCTTTTTTGAATATGAAATCAAATCAGATATATCAGCAACTATAGTTGCAACAAACTATATGAAGGCTATAAACAAAACGAGTCGATTATTTGGACCATTGCTCTTTGGATTACAGCTTCAGATACTTAAAAACATTAGAAAATCTCGAACTGGACAATATTCAATTAAACCTATAAGTCAAAATTTAATTAAACGTGTAAATCAATGTTCTGAGTTAATACTTAATAGGCATGCAAAAAATATTGCAACTATAATTAAGGATAAATTTATTCAAAGTTATATATTTAAATACTATAATCAAGACTTTGTTTTATTAAAGTTATTCAAATATACTGTCAGTAATCGAACTTATTATCTTAGTTTTAGAGCAGATAATTTTGTGCAAAAAAAAAATGAGATCTTAAATATAATTAAAATTATGGATTCAAATTATATTTCTCATGATGCTTATCAAGGTTTAGCTGCAATAGATTATCACCTGCCATGTAAAAATATTATCGTATTTGAACGGAATAACTTAACCCAAAAGATAACTAAAGACATTTCAATTAAACTTGTTGACATGGATAAAGTGATAAATAATTTAGAAATTATTGAAAAATCTGACAAACCTAATAATGATAGTATAGATTTTAATAAAGTTCTAAATTCAATAGATATTAGTAGACAACATGACTGTAAAGGAATACTTAAATATCTAATTTCTTATTTAGTATATAAAAATATATTATCGATTCATGATCCAATAATTTATTTATGAATTTCTGGTGACAGTTGGAATGTAAGCTGGAAAGTTAAACATGTTATGATCACCTTTATGATTTTCAATAATTGAGAGCACCATCATGTACCTAATTATTACTATACTATTGCTTTATATCCAGACACTAAAAATATGAATCCATTAAATTTATATTGAGTCTATTTCTTAATGATCTTAGAGATCTTAAAATTAACGGATTGGATGTTGATAGTATTCTTTGATATTTTGAATTATATTTTAGTAGTGATTGGAAATTTCTAGCAATCTGTCTCAGATTAAATGCTGCAAATTCCAATTATTTTTGTGCTTGGTGTCTCTACTCTAAGCAAGAAATTAGTAATGCAACTCTGAACTGGAAAATTACAAAATCGATGAATAATCTAAAAGATAACTATTATAATATGCCTAGTCATATCAAACCACTATTATTTGATATGATTTCTTTGTCTAATTATATATTTGACAAGTTACACATATTATTATGAGTTGAAGACAACCTCTGGTTCTTAATGTTAAAGAACAAAATTTGTTTAATGATATCAGCCGTCAAATTATTGTGGATGAAATAAAATGGCTTAACATTAAGTTTCACTTTTGGCAAGAATCTACTATATAGAAAAGCACATCATTAAGTGGTGATGATAAGATTAAAGTATTGCAATATTTTAATTTAGCTACATTTTTTTGCCTGAGTCGAGCTAAACTAATCAATCTTTGTGAAACAAATTTATCAAATTATATAAGACAATGTTTAATCAAGATAGTGATTCTTTATATTTAAAACATATATCACTTGAATGGCTAAAACTTTTTTTGAAACCTGATGAAAAAGATCCAAAGAATCCACTAAATATTGTCAAAGGTCTTTATTTACCAGTTGATATAACTCCTTATATTCATTTTTTAGTATTTCATGAGTGGGAGTTATATCAAAAACATAAACGATAGGGGTTAGATGCATTTTCTTGTAGTGCAGTTGAGAAAAAAAATTACATGCATGTATCATTCTTTTTTTGAAAAACCACTATGAATGGTGGAAATCCTCTTAAGAGAAATGCAGTTACAATTGAAATTTTAGAATATGAATCACAAAATATTTATTTTGCTTATAACAGCTATTCTAAACAAACAGTTAAAAAATTTCGTATTAAATAATATACAGTATTATAATATATAAAGTTGTACCTATAACATAATTACATAATAATTACTGTTACTAACTTATATGTATAAAAATTAACTATTATTTTATGGGTCTGTACCGTTATGAGAAAATTTCTTAAATTCAAATATTGATGTTAGTACAGACCCAATATATGCTTTTAGCATAGTTCTGACTATTCAAATAGAACTTATAATTAAAATAATTATTGGATGCTGATCTTAAGAGTCTATAATAATTTCGTACAAGTTTTCAAAACCTTTATATAAATAGATAAGATGCCTGGCCTGAATCTTTGATTTTAGTAATTCGAGTAATATATATTAAATATGAACTAGTGCTAGTTAAGTACTATGAGTTTCTGATTTTATATTGTTTCTATTTGTTCTAGTTTAGTAATATTCTCTGTATAATTTATTCGAGTTATTTGAATTATGAGCTGGTAAGTTTAATCAATATCACTAGAGTTTTCTGATAGGTTCTTTTGGTTAAAAAGTTATACTATTATCATTTTGTGAAAACAGAAAAATCACAAATAACTCAGGATTTTACTATGATAACTCACAGTTGACTTTTAAATGAAAGTTTTTAACATAAAATTTTAGTTACATAAAAACATTTTTAAATATCAAATATTAAGTAAATTAAAGCCTATACTAAATTCTGATCTTTGTGCTCTTTCGATTTGATAATTAGTATAACCTGTCACAAATTTAGTACGTGCTATGCAAGAAGCATTTCTCTAAGTTAATCATTTTGGTTACGTAATTTTACAACATTGTAAATATATTCTTACTATATTTTAAAGCATATGATAATTCGATTTTTTCAATTTTTTGAAATTACATAGTATTTTTCACATTTTTAAAAGCCTTATTTGGCTTGTAAATATTACAACAATTATACTTTATAGCAATAGTTCAATAACGATAATTATTCATATAATAAAAATTTTATAGAATTATATAATCTAGTTAACTATAACTCTATACCCATTCTAATTTGATACACAAGATTTATAATTATACAATAAGTACATATCTTTGTGATACATAAAAAGATAAGTACACAAATCTTGCAGTACAAGTATATCTATCTATTTCTTTGATGATTTTTTTTCCATTCTACCAGAAGTTTGTCTCGAGAAAATTTTTGTCTTTTTTTTTTTGATTATTTAACTGTTCTAGAGGATCAATATCATTATCTTGATCTTTGTTATCAATATGATTTAATAATTGTTCCAAAATGATATACATTTGTTGATTTTGATCATAACATTTTTGACCCCATTTGGGATTTTCCAAAATTTGTGTTAAAGTTGAATATGCAGACTTACCATGAAATCTATATTTATATATCCATGGATTATTTGAAAATTGGTGAATATGACCCCTAAAAATGGCAATAAATTAACTTTCAGTAATTGGAACTGATAGTACCTTTCTTTCCATTTTGGCAAAACTTAGTGGTAATTGGTAATGTATTTGCTGAATTAAAATATTCTTAAATTCACACAATGTTCTAATCAGAATTTCATCAAGTTTACTGCATGGCATGTTATATTTTTCAATTGTATTACAATGTTGTTTATAACTATTTTTTGATTTAAATTTTCGAAAACAAATTGGACAAGAGACCAAAGATATTAAATTTTGTGAAGATGTGAGTAGTAAACTTATAATTAAAAGACAACTTCTGCTCTTTTTATTAACAATTAGTGAAAGTATTTCTTTTATAAAGAAATTTATGCGAATTACCCTTTTATAGATAATAATGTACATGATGCCAAACGATATGTCCTAGTAAGGATAGACGTCAAATGATATGTCCAAGTAGATCTCTAACCAATAGAAAGCAGATGGGTTTTGGCTAAGGCAGATGGGTTTGACGCATAATCATTATATCCTTAAAATTATTTAAGGTATAGTTTTAAATTATTAGAGTATTGTTTTGTACATTTGACCAATTGAATATAAGAAAATATGGGGTTCAAATTAAAATTTGGTGTCTCTTGCTTAGGCCCAATGCGTTCAATCCGCCCATATGTTATATTCGAATAAACAGATGTCCAGATCTAACCACTAATAGTTACTTGTCCCTGTTTGAAAACTACGTTTTTACTATAGTCAAAGTAAATCGCAGTAAATCGCAGTAAACCATAACCATATACGTTCTGTGATTTGCTTTGATTACAGCAAATCACAAATTTTAATTTCAGAAAACCACCAGTATCACCAATAATCGAGGGCGCAAACGTTTATTCAAATGAAGATTTATTATAATGTTAGAATTATCTGTAGAAAGTATCATATGTCTTTTAACGTTGGCCAAAACCTTCATAGTGCTGGCAAAACTTTTGTAATGCAGGTGCAATAATCATGTGCCATTGCACTAGTTAACAGTTAATGTAAAAGTTACATACTGTACGTAGGCACAAGCGCATGAAGATCATCATGATGACCTCTTGCAGCAAGTCAGAGAAAACTTGTAAGATCCAAGCCCTTATTGAATTAATGATGCCAATCCTGTAGAGAGAAAGCCACCTACCCGATTTGGTTTGACAGATGTCAAGGTAATATTTCCTTGTCGATATAGCACAATTTAGTCAATGATTGGAAAGTGCTAAAGTAAAGAGAATGATGTGAACAATTCTTCTGGTCTTTGTTATAAATGTATAAAAAACCCTGTTATTGTAGGAAAAAAGAAATAAAGAATCAAGATCTCTTAAAAAAGTAATAATAAATAAGAGACCTAATTTGCTCCTATAAAGTTCTCTGAAATTTTAATGCATAGTTGTACTTGCTTAATCCAAACCTTAGATCTCACCTCTGAATCATTAAGTAACATTGCATGATATCTTTCTTTTGTTGTGTGTATGTTGTCTATTTCTATATTCAACAATATGTACAATATTAGAATTTTTATACTGATATTAATATTATTTATGTAAATATTTATATATATAAAAAACTTTTAATTTTAAAAATTAAAATAATGAATAACATAAATATTTCTCTAGTATATTATAATAATTTTAAGTAATCAAATAATATCATTTTTTTAATTACATTAATTCAATACATTCTTATTCAAATGATACCTTTTTTGAATAAAAATACCTTAAAGAGTTAAATTTTTCTTCAAATTATTTATTTGTAAACACATTTTTACAGCATTTTTGATTTAACAGTTGTAACTAATATTACAAAGAAAAATATTTAAGAGATATTATTTTTGTTATCTTATACTGATTTTTGAATTATCTAATATGGTTTGTAATGTTGTTTAATATTTTGGTAGTTTGAATTAATAATTAAAAATAATATGATACCAAAAATATTATTCTTTTAAAAATTATAACTTGCAATTTGAAGGAACTTTTTTTAAACTTTTTTTTTATAACTTTTATTAAAAATTTGTTTTTTTAAGTATTATTAAAAATCAATAGGGTTATTTAAACTTTAATTTGCTCATTTTTATATTAGAAAAAAAAATTAATTTATAAAATTGCAAAAAACAAAGAGCAACTAAATACAATCAAATTATTTTTTATTTATTTAACTTTAATTTTGTAATGATAAGTCTTTTTAAATTACTAAATACAATATCTTTTTCATTATAATTAGGAGACTAATCAAACAGTGATTGAAATCATTAATTTAATCTGTTACAGATTATAAACATATAATATTTTTAATATAATTGTATATGTGTTGTATATAAATATAGAATTGGAACAAAGATTAATATTAGAATTGAGATTAGTTCTATTTTGAAAAATTAAAAAATTTATATTAAATTATTGCATTATAAATATAATAATAATTTTTTATTTAATATTATTTATATATATTTAATTTAATAAAAATTTATTTTAAATTATTATTTAAAATTTAAATTCTGAATTATTAGATTAAATAAGCTATATATCTATTGATTTTAATTACCAATCTAATCTTGTATTTAAAGAATTTGTATTAAATAAATAGGATTAAAAGGTGATTTTTTTAAATATTTTTATTTTATATAAATTAAATAAATTAATTTTATTTTAAAAATTGTATTTCTTTTATAAAAATAATAATTATTATTATTTTTAGATAAAATTTCTAGTTTTCAAATTAATTTGTAAGTTAATATAATTATTTTTAATGAATTTTAATAATATTTAAATTTTGTAAATTTATATATAATTATTATATTAATTTTTTTAGTATTATTAAAATATAATTAATTAATTTTTATTGTATTTTAGCAATTATTGTTTTTTAAAATGAGTTCTAGTAAGAAAAATATTAATGAATCAACTTCTATAATAACTAAAGATAAAAAAAAAGTAGTGGTCATCCAGAAGCTCCAGTTTCAAATTATTTTACTAAAAAAAAAAAATAGGAAAATGAAAATATCAGGCAATATGTAATTTGTGTAGTGCATCTTGAAATCATAGTAAACTAATTAAATTAGAAAGTTATTTAGCTAATTATTGTTCAAAAGCTGATCCAAAGATTATTAAACAATTTCTTACAAGAATTTTTTCAAATACTTCTGAAGAAAATATTTTTAACAAAAAAAAAAAAAACAACATTCAAGGAAATCTTAATCAATATGTTAGTATAATAGAATTAGATTAACAAAAAATTAAAAGAATTAATCTTGCTTGGACAAGAGCTTTTGCTATTTGTGAAATTCCTTAGCATACTATTGAAATTTCTTTTTTTATTAAACTATTAAAAGAAACCAATTTATCTTATAATTTACCAACATGACAATTTTTATTAGGTTATTTATTAAAACAACAATTAGCTCTTATTAATCAAAAAACTAGTAATATATTTAAACAATATTTAAATTTGACTTTAGATAAATTAATTTATATTTTTTAAATAAAATTAAATAATAACTAATTAATTTAATTTAGCATTAGATGGTTAGACTGATAAAATAAGTTATTCAGTTTGGAATTTTATAATATTATACCTAAATGAAAAAAATATTTATATAATATTTGTGATTAGTCTGATGAAATACATACTGAAAACTTTTTAGTTAACAAAATTAATGAAGTTTTAGATTCTATTGGTATAGAACATTTTTGAGCTATTGTTAATGATAATAGTGCTAATATAAAGCTTGCATAAGATATAATTTCAACATAAAATTCACATATTTTTAGTATAAGTGTATAGCACATGCAATTAATTTAGTTGCACAAAATATTTTAAAATTTGAATAGGCGGATAAATTAATTAAAAAATGTAATATTCTTATAATTTTTTTAAATCTTTACATAAAGCAGGTAAAAATTTAATTATATTTTATTTTTTTTAAATTTAATTATAATTTTAATTTATTATATTAATTATTTTTATAAATTTTATATATTTAAAAAAGCAGAATTAAGACTTTTAATACAGGAGTGTAGTGACTTAGTGAAGTAGATAAGTTGTCAACCCTCCAAGTGGTAGGTTGTGAGTTCAAAACCCACAGACAGCAAAAATTTGGATAATTACCTATGTATTATTCATATTATGGCAACTGTTTCTAACGATTGGGTTAAGATACCTGTAATTATGATCACATCAGCATGACTGGCAGGTTATGGGGCATCTGTGTAACTAATTACATAGAGAAATGCAAACCAGCATCAGGTGGTGCAAACCCAAAATAAGTCCTTGTGGCTGTGTAAATCTGTAAAAATTGGGGAACAAGAAGCCTATTTGGGAAGACCTGAGTAGAAAGGTAACATGGATCTTTGACAGTACTACTGTAAAGGCTAAACCTAGAAAACAGATATCAATGTGAAGTACCTGGATAGGCAAAAACCTCTGAGTAGGGGGTATCACCAATCAGGCCACCGAAAGTCCAACTGGAAGGACTGAAGGAAAAGAATATCAGGTTGATCTAATATACCAATGGGCAGGTCATAGTTCTACTTGGCTATCTGGATTGGGAGTTTGGAAAAAAAGCAGAGGTATACTAAAAGTACTAGAAATATGCTGTGAAGTAAGTGCTGAGGTCTGAGTGAACTCTGCAAGGGCAAGCCCTATTAATATTCTGTAGAGTAGATAAGTAGTTAATAAGGGGGCCTCTAGAGCCTTATAGTCAGATGTTGTGCTCTGAAAATAATTGTGTAACAGCTTGACAGATGTACAGAAGGGTGGCTAAATGTTGGGTTAGATGGCACTTAGGTGTACAGAAACTGGGATGCTAATTGTTTGGGTGTAGTATAGGAATCAGAGCATTTAATTAAATAGTCTTCTAGTAGATTATAGGTATAGCAGCTAGTATAGAACCCTTGGGCAGACTACTTAAATAGGTAACCAAAAGTTACACGTGTGGCTAGTTGTATGCTTATCCTATACAAGTAATATATAATATATTCACTAAAAACACAATAAAGACATTAGCTGCCATTAACATCAGCCTTAAAACAAAAAAAAAAAAAAAAAAAGACTTTTAATAGAAAGAATATATATAACTAGTAGAAGTCTTAAAAATTATTCAAATACTAGATGGACAACTGCAAATAAAACAGTTAAAAGTGTATTACATTTAGAAAAAGTTTTAAAAAAAGTAAGACATTAAAATTATTAAATATAATTTAATATTATTAAATATTAATTATTATTATTTTTAGATTGTTGAAGATAATATATTAACAAATAATTAGATTAATAATATTATTAATTATTATAATTTTTTTATTTATTTAAAAGTATTAAATTTTGTATTATTACCTTTAAAAAAATCTATTTTATTATTAGAAAGTAATTATGCAAATCTTGGTGATTGTTTTTTAAGTTTAGCTAAAACAAATACAACAATTAAAAAATTATTAAGAAAACAATATACTGGATTTTAACAATATTATTTTAATATATTAAATAAACAATTTAAAGAATTTGATGATGATTTATATATTTTAAGGTATTTTTTAACACCAAATTTTCGAAGTAAGTATAATTATATTAAATTTAAAAATAATAATATTTAGTTTATTTTATTTTTTAAATTTAGGATTTAAAAATAGACAATTTACAAAAATTATTAAAATTGTTGGTTTAATTTGGAAAAAATATGAAAAAGATCATGCAAGTTATAATATTTTAGTAGCTCATCTTTGACTTTATAAAAAAAAAAATATCTTTATAAAGCTTCATATGCACAAAAATATGATATTCTTTTAACTTGGTGAAATTCACTTGAACTACAACTAATATATTTTCAAGATTTAGTTTTAAAGATTTTAGCAATTGTTTCAGATAGTACTTCATATGAAAGAAAATTTTCTTTACTTAATTGGTTAACTGGTAATAAGTGAACACAAATAAATATTCAAAAATTAAAAACAATTGCAAAATTATATACATATTATAATTCTAATGCAAAAAAAGAACTTTCATATTTTGCAAATAAAATGATTGAAAAAGAAGTTTTAGAAATATTAAGTCAAACAAATATTAAAACTTTTGAAACAATATTAAAAAAAGAAAAATTTGATAAAGATGAATTATTATTAGCTAATGATTCAAATTTAGATAAATTAATACAATAACTACAGAAGATTTAGTTTTATTTTTAAAAACAAGTTTAGATTTAAATAATGAAATTTTTATTGATAATTTAGAAAATTTTTCTGATGAAGATAATGATAAAGATTTGTTATTAGAAACTGATGAAATTGTAGAAAATATTAAAGAATAGATAATCAAATTCCTGGTCAAGATAATTATAATTGGAATCCTAAAAATACTATAAATTTGATGATAACTAATAGTAAATATTTAAATATTATAATTTTTTAAAAATTTATTATTTATATTATAGATTTTTGTTATTTATATTATAGATTTTTGTTATTTATATTATAATATATATACATTATTATATTAATTTTTTAGATTTTATTATTTTTAATTAATATTTTAGTAACTAATTAATTAAATTTAATATTTTTATTAAATGCGATTAATTACTAAAAAATTTTAAAAAATTAAAATAATTTATATATACTATAATATAAATAATAATAATTTATAATATAAATAATAATTGTTTTTTTTAATTTTAAATATAAATTAATATTTATTAATATTTATATTATATATTTATATATTTAAATTTTATTATAAAATATATTATATATTAAGTATCTTATGTTTTTATAATTAAGTTCTTTTTTAATAAAAAGTTTTTTTTACTTAGTTAGCAGGTTTTTCTTTTTATTAATAATTTTTATTTTTTAAATTAACTTATTTTTTATTTATTTATATATATTCATATTATATTTTTTATTTTGTTTATTTATTTTATTTTTAATAAAAATTTTAATTAAATTAATATTTTACAAATTAATATAAAAAAACTTTATAGTATAATGTTGCAAATAGTTGCTTACTTAAAAATCTCTATTTATAAAATATTTTAAGTTGGTTTATATAATGTTAAATAATATTACTACTATGAAAGAGAGCATGAATTTGGCAGAGCATATGCTTTATTAAAATATATAAGAATATATTTTTGATTATTTATAATATGCAAATGCTTTATGCTTTATATATTATTTACATATCTACTAATTCTACTAATTATACTAGTTATTCTATATATACTAGTTATGCTACTTATATTCATTATACTAAATCTATAGTATATGCAACTTTTGCTAAATTTACTAACTATATTATATTTACTAAATAATTATATAATTGATTTTTTTAGGTTTAATGCATTGTTGATTAATTTCTAATTATTATAATAGATATATTAAATTTAAGATTATTATTAATATATAAAAAATATAAAAGTTTTTAGTATTATAATTTCTAATATTAGATATTTAAAATATTAATAATATACTTTTATATTTACTAAAACTATATTTTACAATATAAATATTAGAAAAATATTATTTTTATTAATCTTTAATATAATTTTTACTATTTAATAATATATTTTTTAATTATTCTTTTAATTTTTTATTAAATATAATCTAAAACTAAAATAAAATTAAATATTCTATTTTTAATTTCATAATCTTTTTATTTAATTACTAATTTTAATTAATTTA